CCCCACCGCCCCACCTCCGTCCTGCACCAACGTGGTTGAACCCTCCACCATTCCCCACTGGGATTATTGTGCTAGGCTTCTAACTGGCTTTCTACTGTCACATTTGCTCTCTATCATCTAGTCTCGATTCCTTTGTTCGGAACCTTCCCATGACTTCCTCCTCAATGAGAGTGAAAGCCAAAGTCCTCGTAGTGGCCTCAGTCCCTCCTGACGTGCACTCATTCTCTTCTCCCACCTGTCTCTGCTCCAGCCACCCTGGCCTCCCTGCTTGTCCTGCAGCATACCAGGCATAGTCCCACCTGGCAGCCTTTGCATTTGCTGTTTCTTTTGCTCAGATGCTTACTCCCCATTATCTGCTTGGCTCAACCCTCAGACCCTCATTTAGGACTCTGCCCAACGGCCGCCTTCTTATGATGCCTTTCCTGACCACTTCGGTCACCCTCTACCATCCTTCTAGCCTCCCCATGGTAGCTGTGGCTTTTCCCCGCTTTATTTTTCCCCAGGGTACTCTCTCCACCTTCTGCAAGCCTATCTTATTTACTTATTGTATTTTTTGTCCACCACCACCACTATCCAAGTGTAAGTTCCTTGAGGCCTGGAATTTTTATTTGTTTTGTTATTTGCTCTATCCTTAGCACCTAAAACAGGGCCAGGCCGGCAGTAAGGTGTTCAGTAAACATTTGTAGATTTTTTTTTTAATTCGTTAGTAATTTTATTTTATTTTATTTTTTTTCAATATATGAAGTTTATTGTCAAATTGGTCTCAACATTTGTAGATTTAATGACAAATAGGACAAGGCATTTTCTTATAAATTACTAAGCCATTTACCATTATTAAATGTCCATCTTATTTTCCAGATTTTTTTGTCACTGTAAATAATGCTGCTATAAATAGCTTATTTCATATGCTTAATTTCTCCCTTTTATCAGTTATTTCTTTGGGTCACATTTCCACAGTGAACACTGTCAAACGTCCTTCCAAGAGGATTTTTTGTCAATTTATAATGCCACCAGCCCTGACTCTGTTTCCATGTTGCCTTGCCACCATCGGGCTTTATCCCTTCTTTATTTTTGCAGTTTGATAGTTATTAGTGTCATAGGCTTTGTGATTGTTTTGATTTGCATTTCTTAAGCTTTAAGAATTTTTTTAAAATCTTTATTTATTTTTTAGAGAGAGACTGAGCATGAGCGGGGGAGGGGCAGAGAGAGAGGGAGACACAGAATCCGAAACAGGCTCCAGGCTCCCAGCTGTCAGCACAGAGCCTGACTCAGGGCTCGAACTCATGAACTGTGAGATCATGACCTGAGCTGAAGTCGGATGCTCAACCGACTGAGCCACCCAGGCACCCTGCATTTCTTTAACTTTTAAATACAATTGGTCATGTGTTCTTTAGTTTATCTTCTTTATACCTGTATTTTTTTTAATTTTTTAATGTTTATTTATTTTTGAGAGAGAGACAGAGCTCGAGTGAGGGAGGAGCAGAGAGAGAGGGAGACACAGAAGCAGAAGCAGGTTTCAAGCTCTGAGCTGTCAGCACAGAGCCCGACGCAAGGCTCGAATTCACCAACCGTGAGATCATGACCTGAACCGAAGTCGGACGCCCAACCGACTGAGCCACCCAGGCGCCCCTCTTTAGTTTATCTTCTGAAGTAAATTACTGATCTAGACCCCTGATTATGTTTTGGGTGGTCGCGGGGGAGGTGCTTTGGAATCATATTTATTCATCCGCACTTTTTGGGACAACCATCTTAATCCTCGTTGATATTTGTTATAAGTATGCTGTTATTTCCATTCCATCCTATTATTCCCTTTCCTGTCTGTGTGTCTCCTTCAACTCTGTGTTTTCATATTTACAGCCGTGGACTACTGTGCCTCGGAAAACCACGGATGCGAACACGAGTGTGTGAATGCTGACGGCTCCTACTTTTGCCGGTGCCCTAAAGGATTTGCTCTTAACCCAGATAAAAAAACATGTGCAAGTAAGTTACCTACAAAAAGAGTTTGTGTGTGTGTGTGTGACAGTTTTTGGCTCGCACATTTTATTTACTTACTTATTGACTTACTTTTAATTCCCGTGTAGTTAACAGTGTTACATTAGTTTCAGGTGCATAGCACAGTGATTCAACAACAAAAACTTTCTTTCCTGCTATTGCTGTGGGCACCGTGGCCGGGGAATTCTCCCAAGCATATCGTGGCACAAGATGATGTGCTGCGGAGTCTGATGACTTCTGCCCCATTCTTCCTCTGTCAGGCCTTTCGCCACTTGTCCTAGGACCGTAGTCCACCCTGTCTCAATATCACCCTTCAAGGCATTTGACAGAGGTGTCTTTCATTGGAGACCACACGTGGGAATGTTCTTCCAGCATCTGCTGAACGTGCTGACGATCAGACCATCTGACTTCATGCTGGCTCAGCCGGGCTGTGCCCATCAGTATTAACAGAGCTTAAAAAATACTTTCACTGAAGCTCTGTGGCTTGTGGGCTTTAGCTCTGCCTCCACACGAGCATAAGAAAATCGCTGAGCCTGAAGGAGTTGAATGTGGTTGCTTCGGGGTGGGGGAAGGGCGGGTGGAGGGTGGTTTGCAGAGAACTGCTCGTTCTTTTGTTTGATATATTTAGTTCTATTTGATTTTAACTACACACATACAGGTCAGAATTCACTTGAGCTCCCAACATCTGACCATAAGAACTTACAAACTAAAGATGTTTTGCGAAAGGATTCCAAAAGCGTTCTTTTATATGTAAAGGTATGTCAGAGCACTTAAGGGATTGTGTAAGGGCGATCATCCTGTTGAGGGATTCACTTGAGAGAAGGTTGTTTTTAAAGGATTAGGGCCCAGCATTTTTATTTTTATTTATTTTTATTTTTATTTTTTCAACTTTTATTTATTTTTGGGACAGAGAGAGACAGAGCATGAACGGGGGAGGGGCAGAGAGAGAGGGAGACACAGAATCGGAAACAGGCTCCAGGCTCTGAGCCATCAGCCCAGAGCCCGACGCGGGGCTCGAACTCCCGGACCGCGAGATCGTGACCTGGCTGAAGTCGGACGCTTAACCGACTGCGCCACCCAGGCGCCCCAAGGGCCCAGCATTTTTAAAAAGTGCAGCTGAATACCAGGTTAGTGTACGTTATCTCCGAAACATACATCAAGGAGAAAATAGGATTTCAATTCGTAAAAAGTTCATGTACCCACCGCCTTTCCAAAACACATTGATTATGGAAAGCAGGATATACGTGGACAGTTTTTTAAAAAGCACCCCCACAAAACTCCTGAAACCTAAGCTTGCTCTTCAACCCTAAATATCAATAGCTTAGAAACGCCGGAGCTGGAGACAAGGGTGGAGCCTGGAATTGCAAGGAACACGGCCAGTCAAAATATGCATTTCTAGAGCCCTAACCATGTGCCAGTAACAATGGACAAGGTGAAGGCCTTCCTGGAGGAGGTGATATTTTGGCTGAATCTTGAAGGCAGAGCTGTCATTTATTCACCGGGCAAAGAAGGCTGAGACCAGGGTGGCCGGGAGGAGGAAAGATGTGCCAAGATACAAGCCAGACAGGCTCAGGCCCACACCTGGCACACGACTGGCATGCGAATTATTGAGAGAAGAAGCGGGTGATGAGTGGCCTCCTCTGGTCCTGGTCTCCCTTCCCTTCTGAACATTCTGAACCGTAAATCAGCAACCCAGGCTGTGGTAACAGCTGGGAAGGTGGTTGCCAGGTTGACGGGTTGGTCTGTTCCTCAGAGAGGAGGCCATGTGCTGCCAAGGGCAGTCTCGGCCTCAGAGCAAATTCTAGCTCTTCGCTTTTTCCCTGGCTGGCCTTGGGCAATCGATTTGTGCTTCAGTTCCCTCAACTGTAATAGGGGATCATAATACTGCCTGCTTCATAGCGTTGTCTTGAAAACTAAATGGGGTAATCCATATAAACCATTTAGCAAATTGTCTGGTGCTGAGCAAGTTCTTTTAAGGCATGATACTGCCTTCAACGACTTTAAATTGGTATTTATTGAGCATATACCACATGCCCGAGCTAAGTTTAATAGTGCATAAAAAATTCAAGACTTGGCCCCAGGCTTCCACTGGGATGAGACCTGGAGGAAAACACGCGTCCTATCCAGTCTGCCTCCTGCCTCCTCAAAACTCCTTCCCTGCCTGAGACCCCCCGATTCCCACCCCCACCCCCAGTTCCCAGAGGCTCGCCATCACCCCCATCCTGTGGCTCAGTATGTCTCCTATCCCAGAATCCCTGGGGACGCGGAGAATTACGGGCCCCAGGATGATGCAGGCAAGGAGACCCTCCAGTCAACACGGAAGCTCAGGCGCACTGGGAGAAGAGGTCTGGCTGGGAGGCAGGGGAGGACTGGTCCAGCTGGGGGGCCTCGCCAGTGAGGCACGGAGCCCAGCAATTCCAGCATGTCTCTGGACCCTGTCGGAGTCGAGACTCAGAAGTAGGCAGGGCTGGGTACTCAGAGGGGTCTGGGTGAGCAGCATCCAGGAGATGTGTCCCCTAGAAAAAGGACCCCCTTCCTATCATGCTTGGGGGCAGGGTGAGAACTAGACCTGGAAAGGCTACTGCCAGGAGGAAGGAGACCCCCCCCCCCCCCCCCCGCCCGGCTTTCTTGGAAAGCTGCGAGAGTGGGAAATAAAGTGAAGCCCAGCAGTAAGAATGGAGACCCTTGGGAGCACCCCACATCTGTGAGGGACAAGAACTGTGAAATAGGGGCCAGTTAAAAAGACAGAAACAGGATGGAGGTGGAAACTCAGAATCAAGACAGTCATCCTGTTAGTAATTAATGAGGCATCACATCAGCTTCCAGCCAAGTCGGCCTGGCTGCTGCTGTGGTGTTGAGAGGTTTTTTTAAAACATTTTTTCCACTTCTCGTAAACTTGCAAAAAAAATGAAATAAAACAAAAGATACTCAGTTCCTTAAATTTCATCTCTATTTTTAACCAAAAGTATATTTGAAGGCTAACCCAATTAGTAAGTGTAATTATTGTCTGAAAATGTAGACTGTCAATGTAATATACCAAACGTGATTAATTTATGATTAAACCAAAGTGTATATAATAGAGCCTTATGTTCCTGAACAAAGAGTATAATTTAAAATATGTAAGTATTCAAAAAGCACCACTTAAAAAAAATTTTTTTTAATGTTTATTTATTTTTGAGAGAGGGTGAGCAGAGGAGGGGCAGAGAGAGAGGGAGACACAGAATCCGAAGCAGGCTCCAGGCTCTGAGCTGTCAGCACAGAGCCCGAAGCAGGGCTCGAACTCACAGCCCGTGAGATCGTGACCTGAGCCGAAGTCAGACGCTTAACTGACTGAGACACCCAGGTGCCCCCCAAAAGCCCCACTTTTATATCAGTTCTTTCCCCTAAAGCAACCTATCCAAGTCTATCTGAATATTTTGTAGAAGGGAGAAGAGTGGAAACATGCAGGTATGGTTACTTTGCAAAATATTGCCAAGACTTTTTTTCACTGTGGGAAAATAGACATAATATAAAATTTACCACTGTAACCATTTTAAAGTGTAGAGTTCAGTGACATGAAGAACATTCGTGTTGTTATGTGTTGTTATGCAACCATCACTGCCATCACTGTCAGAATTTCCTTCTTCTTTAAGGCTGAATAATATTCCATTGTATGTATACATCACATTTTGTTTACCCATTCATCTGTAAGTAGACACGTGGGTGGTTTCCACCTTTTGGCCCTAGTGAGTAATGATGCTATGAACATGAACGTACAAGTATCTGTTCAAATCCCTGCTTCCAAATTGCTAGATCATATTATGGCAAGACTTTTTAAGGTCTGATCTGAAACCACTACTACTGAGCCAGGCACGAGAACATTCTCAGAGGTTCAGGGTCTTTTCCTGAGAAAGATAGAAGACTTCAGTCCACTGGACAGGGATTCATGTCTTTGGTATCAAGGAGACTGGGGGTTTCAAGTCTAATGCTTAATCATCTAATACCTGTGCTAGTGAGTAAGGGTAATTGTAGACATTTATAACATATAATAGCATGTTGCTATTTATTATTTACTGACTTTGAGATCATTATAGTCATTATTTTTTAGACTCCATTGATAACTTGGTTGGCATTTCCATCCTTTTTCAAGTAGGAATGCTTTGCATAGAGGAAAGTACTACATGAATATTTATACTTGCTTTAAAAGTGAAACCTGGAGGAAGGAAATAATTTTATACTGAATCCAAGGCATAAAATATAGAATGTATAGAATTTAGGTTTCATAGCCAACTTATGGTTAACCTACTGTAATATGCTACTTACTTTTGTGAGATGAATTTTTGTACATGAATCTAAGATTCTCAATTGGAGGGGACCTGAAAGTTCAAACTAGTTCTAGCCCAACCACCCATCTCACAATATTCCCATCATGCTGTCATCCATCCTGCACTTAAATACTCCTACTGACAGGACACTCACTACATCCCATGCAGTGCATTCCATTTTGTGCAGCTCTGACTCTTAGAAAGTGGTTCATTAAACTGAGCTGAGAATGACTTCCTTGTACTTTGAAACTAAGAACAAATTAGGCTTCTTGTATTTTCTTGGTCATTAGGACTAAGTCATATCAGAATAACTTTATTTCGCTTAGTAGACTAGCTAGGCCTGGAAAACGTGGTAGGGACTATCTGTACTTTCACAGACATTGGACCGATTTGCTGATGAAGGCCCTATGCCTCATAGACCAGATGGAGGAACGTGTGCTGGATGAAAGAATAATTAATTGTTTGCATCTATAACTGGCTGAATGTCTGTACCCAGAAGATGTTAATTGCTGAGCTGAGATCCTCACAGAGGGAGTTTTTTAAGCAGCCTGCCAAAAGAAGCCTGAAGAACTATATAAGAGCTGTCTTATATCCTTAGTGACCCCTTGTTGGTTCCTAGTGGGCGGTGTTTACATCTAAACCCTCCAAAACACTCCATTGAGAGTAGTACTGATAATTGAGGCACCTGGGTGTCTCAGTCAGTTGAGCATCCGACTTAAGCTCAGGTCATAATCTCACAGTTCATGAGTTCAAGCTCTGCATTGGGCTCGCTGCTGTCAGCATAGAGCCCACTTCAGATCCTCTGTACCGCACCCCCATCTTCTCTGCTCCTCCCCCACTCACACACGCTCTCTCTCTTTGTGTCTCTGTGTCTCTGTCTCTCTCTCTCAAAAATGAATAAATATTTACATGTAAAGAAGAGTGGTACTGATAACCGTTTATTCATTCAACAAATATTTGTCGAGCACCTACTATGTGCCAGATGCCATTGGAGACACTAAGCATGCAATGCTACGTAAAACGAACCAAAAGACTTCTGTTTTTTTGGGCAATAGCTTACATTCTGTTGGAGCAGAGTAGATGAGAATACAGGGCTCACGAGAAAGTGGAATCTGAACAAACACTTGAAAGAGGTGAGGGAAGGAGGAGACTTTTGAAGCAGGGGAAATACAACACCAGTGCAAAGGCCCTGAGGCAAGAACTGTGAGACTTGGCAATGATGAGGGACGATAAGGAAGTCCATATGACTAGAACAGAGTGAGACATAGTAATGCAGTATGGTCCACAGAGCATACAGCCTGTCCTCTCTATAGTCATAGGTTTGCTCCCCCAAATTCCAGTGATACCTGTGAGCTCATGGCCACTTCCCTATACTGAAAGCCTAAAATGGCTTTGTTTGGTGGCTGTATTTTATGTTTGGGTATAGACATAAGAAGCTATACACGTTGTCCCCAGCAATTTTCCCTGATTATTTTCTTCTCCATTACTGGGCACTTCCCACACTGTTCTTTTTTCTATTTTTTAATGCTATTTTCCATGGCAACTAGTTTCACAATTATGAATGTACATACTTGTTTTTAATACCTTTCCTGACTGCAAAAGTAACATATACTTACTGTAGAAAACTAGATCATATAGAAATGAAGTTGTATAAAATGAAATGATCTGTCATCACCCAGAGATAACCATTGTTAATACTGACTTGCTACATTTCCCTCCAGCCTTTTTATGCACATGAATATATTTTTATAGAGTTGAGATCATACAGTATAACATTAAATCATGAGTATTTTCACATGTCATTTTAAACTTTATCAAAAACATTTTAATGTCTTCATGATAATCGTACGTATGTATCACAAAGTGTTCAATAATTTTTTTGGCTACTCTGATTGTATTGTGATAAATGTCCTCATATGTAAGTCTTTGCATTTTCTAATCATTTTCTTAGGAACAAAACACAAAAGGAAAGTTACTGAGTCAAAGTCTGTTAACAGTTTTAAGGCTTTTGATGTATATTGAAAGTTATTTCCAAAAAGTTTTACCAATGTATACTCTACTGTAAGCGTTTTGAGGAGGCAATTGAAAAAATTTTTGCTAACTTAAGAGAAAATTTTTTCTCACTGCTCTTTTTATTATCATGTCTAATTACCTTTCTTCATAAAATTAGGTAGTAATATATAGAGATAATTGACAAATACATGTTTTTTGGTGTTATTTGATTGATGAATAGTCTGTTCTAATTAAAATTAACTGAAGAAGAATTAGATCATATGAATAAAGGCCTCTGTTTATTAAAGAAATTGAACTTGTTCTTATAAACCTTCCCACAAAGAAAACACCAGGACTATTTGGCTTAACTGGTGAATATAGGATTAAGAGCTAATATCAATACATAAATTCTTCCAGAAAACTGAAGAGGGAGCATTTTTCAACTTATTCTATGAAGCCAGCGTTACCCTGATACAAAACCCAGGAAAATACATTACAGGAAAAGAAAACTACACATAAGTATCCCTCATAAAATTCGTGTAAAAGTTGTTTAAATATTTTTAGCAATCAAATCCCACAATTTGTAAAAAGGATAATGCATCATGACCAAGTAAGATTTATCCCAGGAATCCAGAGTTGATTTAACATTCAAAACGTGATCAATGTAACACACAACATTAACATACTAAAGAGCAGAAACCATAAAATCCAACTCAAAAGATACAGAAAGAGCATTGGACAAGACCTGACATTCAATTTTGATTAAAAAAATTTTTTTAATCTTTATTTATTTTTGAGAGAGAGAGAGAGAGAGAGAGAGAGAGAGTGGGGGAGGAACAGAGAGAGAGGGAGACACAGAATCCAAAGCAGGCTCCAGGCTCTGGGCGGTCTGCACAGAGCGCCATGCAGGGCTCAAACTCATGAACTGCAAGATCATGATCTGAGCTGAAGTCGGACACTTAACCGATTGAGCCACCTAGCCACCCCTCAATTATGATTTTTAAAAGAAAAAAAAAACCTCTCTGCAAACTAGGAATGATAAGAACTGCCTCCATCTGATGCAGTGCATCAGTGGAGAAATCATCAGGCAACACCATACTCAATGATGAAAGACTGAATGCTTTCCTTATAGGATCAGAAACAAAACAGGATGCCCACTTTCACCACCTCCTTTTAGTATTGTACTATAGGTTCTAGCCATTGTATTAGGGGTAAAAAAAGAAGGGCAGGGGGAGAAATGAAATCTAGGTTGGAAGGGAAGAATTAAAGCATCTTTATTGACAGACAACAGGGTCATCTATGTAGAAACTTCAGTGGAGTCTACAAAAAGGGGCTATTAAGTGAGTTTAGCAAAATTGCAGGATACAAGGTCTATATACAAAAAACAACTATTTTTTACATTTTTTTCAATGGAGAATCAAAAATTAAGATTAAAAAAACCATTTACCATAGCATCAAAAATATGTACTACCTATGGACAAATTTGACAAAAGATGTAAAAGACTTATACTACAAAAACTACAAAATATTGCTAAGAGAAATTAAAGAAGACTTAAATAAATAGATATATCACATTCATGGATCAGAAGGCTTAATACTGTTAAGCTGCCTGTCCTTTCCAAATCTATACATCAAAGCAATATCTATCACGATCCTAGTATGCTTTTTTGCAGAAACTGACAAGCTGATTCTAAAATGTGTGAAACGCAAAGGATTAAAACAGTCAAATGGATTTTGAAAAAGATGCCCAAAGTTGGAGGACTTAAACTACTTGATTTTAAAAACTACGTGTTTTTCCCTTTAAGGATATTGTGCGCCTTTCTCTTACTCATTTTGTTTCCTCTGTTACAGGCTAGGAAATTCTTCATTATTAAAATTCTTCATTATTAACATGATAGCCATAGGTCACATATTCTGTAATATAGTAAAATCCTCATCAAAACAAAAATATTTCTTTTATGACCCCATCAGCTGCTATTTACTTCAGGCAGTTTTAAACAGTGTGTTTAATTCCATAATAGCAAAATAATCAGACCCTTCAATAGAAGTCTCTTTCCCTATCTAAAAATACTCATATAAGTAAAATCCCATTATAAAAAATTCCATGTAACCTTTCTTTTCTCTTGGTGTTTTGATTTAAATTAACGTGTACCTAGAGATCACAATCTCTGACTGTGCAACCTTGAGAAAATCTAAGTGCAAATGAGTCCCGTGATGTAACGAGGGCAGTACTCTACACTGAGAATATCTCTGTCATTTATTCCCTCTTTTTCCCAGGATCTGACTTTGTGTCCTATTGTTTGGCTCAGTGTCTGAGGGGTTTAAGTGTCTGGAGTTCGACTTGGGGAAGATTTCCATTGTTTTAATTGCATAAATTCCATAAAACTTTGAGCTAAGCTCCCTCTTCCCAGCTTGCGAGACAACAAACAACACTCAACCACGCTTTTATTTTAGTGGCTTTTAACGTGAACCCAGACAAGGAAAGCATCTTCACAGATTCACTTGCTGCATAAACATTTTGTAACATGTTGAGAAAGTTCCCTCTGGGAGGCCATATCCCTAAACATGGAGATAGCCTCACTGAGAGATCCCTTCATAGCAGGACTGTTTGAGGTTACAGGAATTTATTATTTAGGGAAAATTAAGAATGAAATCCCCTTGGTTTTTCTCTGTGATATTTATTATTTTGTTCACCATTCTTACGATTTTTCTCTTTCCAGAGATAGACTACTGTGCCTCACCTAATCATGGATGCCAGCACGAGTGTGTTAACACAGATCACTCCTATTCCTGCCGCTGCCTAAAAGGTTTTATCCTGAATCCAGATAAGAAAACCTGCAGAAGTAAGTTGCACTGGCTGTAGAAGGGCTAGTTCTGATAAATGCTCTGCTAATTTTCCTTTCCCTTCCAAAACTTCAGCAAGTATACGTGTACTCAGCATTTGTGCTCACTGATACTATTCTGCCCTTTATTTTACCTTTTGTCACTCCCAGTTCTGTGATGGAGATGATTTTTAGAGATTGACTAGACTGAGTCTGCCTATGGGATTCACTGAGCAAAGTCGAGGCCCAAACCAAAGCTCTAACCTACATGAAATGAGGGCGCACACCCTCCCTCCTCCTTAGCCCCACAGCATGTATTTGGGACCTTGCAAAAGAAAAGCCTGGGCCTGGAGACAGGAGGTAAAAGGGATTCGTTTCTTCCGGTCCTACCAGATGAGACACTTCCTGGCTGCTAAGAGGGGAAAATTGCTGCTCTATCCTCTTTGACATAAAGGAAGGGAAAAAACAGGACTCTGGGGTATTTCCGCAGCGTTCGAGAGGTACATGGTGTCAGCAGGATGAAATTAATGATGTGCTGAGTGACTCAAATGCCTGTCGGCTGGCACATCAAGGGGGATCTTGATGAGCATGAGCCCCAAATGGGATCTGTTTACACTAGACTGTCCCTGAGAAACCACTAGAATGGGAAGTCCACAAGGACAAAGATTCTCCTGTTTTTCTCACTCTTGAATCCTCAACACCTCAAGGGTTTGGCACGTGAAAGTGCGACACAAGACGAATGAATGATTGAACGAGTGAGTAAATGGATCTCTCTGAGATTTATCATCCTGGAGAAATTGCAACTCTTATTTGAATTGCTCAATCTTGTTAGAAAGATGGCCCTTTTGGGGCGCCTGGGTGACTCCATTGGTTAAGTGTCTGACTTCGGCTCAGGTCACAATCTCGTGGTTCATGAGTTCGAGCCCCACATCGGGCTGTCTGCTGTCAGCACAGAGCCCACTTTGGATCCTCTGTCCCCCTCTGTCTCTGCTCCCCGCCCCCACCGTCTCGTGTGCTCTCTCTCTCTCTTTCAAAAATAAATAAACATTAAAAAATAATGAAGAAAGATGGCCCTTTTAAGCCATACAGGTTGTGAACTTTTTAAAAGTATTTCCATAGTCAGTCCACACTTATGTACGCTGAATTGTTTGTGTTCTTCTGGCAGTGGTGTTTGTAGAACTTTCTGGAGCCTCCATTTAGGGGTGTATTTTCTTATGCGCTTCTTCACCACCTCTTCTTGGTGATATGTATGGCAGTGCTCTGCCTCAAAGCAGGACTGAATTTTCAAAAGTTTGACCATGTATTTCTTTTGAAAAAGCACTGTGGGCTATGTCACTGAATCCAGACAAGCCACATTCTGCTCCCAGCACGTGTGGACTTACCAACTCACTCTAATAAGTGTTTGACCTTGGATGGTGGCAGATGGTTGTAGACACCACGTTTCGAAACTGGTGCCTTACAAAAGGTAATCCCTGCTGCCTAGCCTCGATGCAAACCCTGGAACCATTCGAGCATGAAATGGGAATTTTAACCGATGGCATCATTCAACACACGAAAACAATGAAGTGGAATATTTTTCATTAGACCACACATGCATAACTATGGTGGAAAACCAACTTTTCTGGACTGGCCACGCCTCTCTGTGCTATTTACACCTTCTTCTAGGTCTAAGTGTGTTAGTGGCTGACTACACCCAGGGAAAATCAGTCGCAGGTGGACTCGTTTGTGGACCGAAAGCTCTTATGTGGGGAATAATTAGATCCGGTTCAACTCAGACACACACATTGTGGAGGAAAAGGGGAACAAGTTAGGCACGTGGCCATCAGGGCAGGGGAATATGCTTGAAACTCTTCACCTCTTACCAGTCATCTAGGATTCCCTCGACCTCTGCCTCACGTCCTGCCGGGAGAGGCACATGCACTAAGAGAGGGGTCCAAGGTGGTACATGCATGCATTGTTATCAAGAGGGGAGGGAAGTGGGGAACAGAAGGGCCAGTGGAGAGGCAGTGACCATTGGGAGCAGTTTGACCACCACAGACGGGCCTGTTCGCGGGTCATGGCCCTCTCCCCAGTCCCCAATGCTCCTTCATATATGTTGAGTGATTATAGCTCCATTTCCTCTTTAGCCAGGTGCCCTACTTTTTCATCCAAGAAAAATGGAATTTGTGTCTAAAACCCGATGTCCTCATCAGCCCTTCTCCCAACATCCTGCCTCATCGTTACATTTTCCATTGTCTGCTGCAAACCCAGCCCTGGGCTCCTGAGGTCAGCCTCCTAGAGCTGCCCCTGACTTCATGTTTGCACTCAGTCGATTATGGCAGACAGCTGTTCACGGCAACGAGCACTCACTGTCTCTCTAGAGCATTACATGGAAGAGGGAAGCAAAAAATTAGATTTAAATCTGGAGTTTGTTATTAGGAGTTTGAGGATCTCAAGAGCATTACAGATCTCAAGCTCAGGGTACAGCCATTTACGTTTAATAGACAGTTGATGGATGTGGGCTATTTTCAAATCTAATAAGACATCTATTTTTCAGAGGAATTTGACGTTATCCAATTAAGGTGGAAAACACAGTTCAAGGCAGAATTCTACTGAAGAAAAGTCTCTCGGCCGGGATTTATTCTTCCTCCTCATCTGGGCACAATTTCTTTCTCTGGAAAGTAGTGTCATTGATTTAAGGCATAAATTATTAAGGCGGTGGTGCAAAGCACAGAAGCCAGGACTGGCCTGGCTGTCGAGGGGGGGCCCGAGGGTGGAATCATATGTGGGTGTGACCCGGGGAGCTGGGCTTCAGGATTGCTCATGCTGGGCACCATAGCTGGTTTTCCCTGGAGCTGGAGGCATCACACTCTGAAGAGACAGGATGGAGATGGGAGGGCTGGTCTTAGCATTGTCACTCATACTGGCTGTATGTCCTTGAACAGGCTGCTTTTCTTCTCTGGACCTGGGTTTGCTAAACCAAAGGAACACGGCTTTAACGTTTTGTAGCCTAACCAATTTTTCTGAGACCTGCTAACTGTGCCACTCCATTGGCATTATAATTTACTGTCCAGGGTCACTAATCTTACATATTTTGATGTCTTAACCTTCTCAGTGAAGTCTCCAGCTTTTTACGAGTTGGCACGCATGAGCTCTGTTTAAAATGTGTTGTCGGAGGGGCAGCTGGGTGGCTCAGTCAGCTAAGCCTCCAACTTCGGCTCAGGTCATAATTTCACAATTCATGGGTTTGAGCCCCACATCAGACTCTCTGCTGTCAGATCCTCTGTCTCTCTCTCTCTCTCTCTCTCTCTCTGCCCCTACCCCATGATTCTCTCCCTCTCTCTCAAAATAAATAAATAAACTTAAAAAAAATAAAATACAATTTTTTGTCTGACCGTTCTGCCAACTGACCTCTCATGGGGCTCACTGGACACTGCGGGCTTCACCAGATAAAGCTACCTGCAAGCCTGTCCCACATGTAGTACCATACATTTAGCGAGGAGACCAGACCAGACATGGGGCACATTGTAGGTGCTCCGTAAATACTAATTAAGTAACACGCGCATAAAGAAATGTAACTCAAGCATGTAAAGAAAGCAGAGATCTGCAGTTACTTTGCCATAAGTAACCATTTGGAGTCAGTGTTGAATTGCTGTTTGCCAGATAGCTGAGCGAGAACATCTTTAAGAATCTAAATGTTTTTGGGGCGCCTGGGTGGATTGGTCGGTTAAGCATCTGACTTTGGCTCAGGTCACGATCTCGCGGTTCCTGAGTTCAAGCCCCGCGTCAGGCTCTGTGCTGACAGCTCAGAGCCTGGAGCCTGTTTCAGATTCTGTGTCTCCCTCTCTCTCTGCCCCTCCCCTGTTCATGCTCTGTCTCTCTCTGTCTCAAAAATAAATAAACGTTAAAAAAA